CTCTTCTCTGCTGCCCTTGAGTATTAAAAGGGGTTGGAAATATTCTGTTTAATTTCTATTCAACCAAAGCAAACTGAAGAAACTGTAGCGAGAGTCAAAATATTGTGTGTGTATATTATAATAACACTTTTGTTCAGTGCAGATCAGGGATTTTGTAGTGTTGTTTGTGATCTGTTTAAATACCTGGTGTGCAGCTTTGTCTGCGAGAAGACCGAATTCTCCTGACAGCTCTCCGAGTGACTTCCTCTGTGTTTTCCATGCTTTGCTCATTGTAGCGTTCACTGGCAGGTCTGGTGTGTCCGAGCCCAGTTCACTGTTGAAGAATCAAGTGATAACCTCTGACTTGTCCACAGAAATGACTAACTTATCGGGGTTATTATCTTTTAAAAAAAACTAAAAACATTAATGACATTTCCATTACTTGAAATAAAATAAAAAAACCTTAATTGAAATAAAATAAACTGTAAAAATTTTAAACTTTTTTTATTACTACTAGTTGCCAGAGCAAAATTACTTATTTTAATTTGATTTAACCTGTATTTAAAAAAAATTATAATAAAATAATATTAGATTAATGATACTAAAATAACATCATAATTATTTAATATTTATCATTCTATAAGTGTTAGAAACCACACCATGCTCTTCCACAAAAAATTAAATGATCTAAACAATGATAGAAAAATTAATACTTTTTAAGATTATATTAAATAACATTGATATCAAGTTGTACAATTTAGCTACATACATTTTATGATATTCTTATATTCTATCTCTATTCAATATCTTGATTATAAACATTCTTTTTATATATTTCTATTCAAATTAGAAAGATGGATGGATGGATAATGATGAAATGGTTCACCTCAGGTCTTTTCCAAACATGAGCAGATCCGTTGAGTTTTCTCTCGAGCGCTGAGCTATCCGCTCAGCCACATCTCTGAGTTTATTAAAACTGCTGTGGATACTTGCAATGACCTCTCGATTAGCAGCAGCCTGGCTCTGCATGCCCTCGGGTAGGTTCACCTTAAAAATTACAATATTCATTTTGTCTGTTAATTTCGCTTTATAGAAGTAAGTTACTGTGCTACACATTGTTTTTTTGCAAACAAAATGTCCCAGACAACACAGTGTCCGTAAACGTTGAATCAACATGTGCCAGATGTGGCCCAGATCGAATTTGAACTTTTTACACGACACCGTCTTCAACTAAAAACGTTAAACTTTGTTTTTACATGGAATATCAATTTTTATTTCATGTCTTTGTTATTATTTTTTTACCCACCTTGCCATGCAACGCTATTTGGGAGGTCAGAAACTCGTCCCCTGTCTTTTTATATGCATCACGCATCTTGTTTAGAACATCCTGTAACATAAAAAAGGACGAAACCTGATAAACAAGTTTTTTTTTTATCAAACTTTTTTTTTTATCAAGCAAATATTTCATCAAACTATTCCTCCTGAATAGATTAATTAGCTATACTGCCATCTGCTGGTTTGCAAGACTTACTGCGCTGCTTGCTGACAGAAAGATGTTGACCAACTCATCTCCTACTAGAACTGGATGTCTGATCACCAAGGTCATGAACCTTTGTAGACCACGGCGGCGACTATCGTTAAACTCTTGGTCTGATACTGAGTTCAAAACTGAGAGATTGAAAAAATAGAGAGTTTTAGTGGCATAATAGGAGCAGCACACACATTTGAGGACTGTTAGTTGAAATCTCACCTCCTTTAAGGATACGCTTTGGGGGCAGAGACGGGACCATCCTGTAGATGAACTTTTGCAGCAGCAGACCGTGGAACATCTCAAAATCCTTGTATCTGCGTTGAACAGGGATCTGAAAACACTATGTAAAAGAGATGGAATAGTTTAATATTGTTTAGGGATAGGCCAAATGTGTGTGTGTTATGCTGCATGATAATAATTTGTTAAAACACCCACGTGATCTTATTCCTAAAAAGGATTTTTATAAATAAACAATTGATTAATTCAAATTCACTAAATATTTTTTTGAATTTTAGCAGCAATTAACATTTTATCAGAAGGAGAATTGTGATCTCTATTTTTAAAAAAAAGTCGTTACTGAATTTATCCAGAATTGTGCAGCTCTGCGTGTATGTGTGTGTCTAGGCCTATATAGAAAGTTAAGTTTACCTTGCTAACAATACGGTACTCCACATGTTTGAGGAAGGACAGTCCTTTCCTTTGGGGCTCTATCTCCACCAGCACACTGTCCCCCAACTCTTTTAGCGACAGCCCATCCACCAGGGCGCTTTGTTGGCCCAGATGCATTTTCTTTGCACCTGACAACAAATGCACCAAAGGTCCAATTAACAGTGTCCAGGTTATGTAGTGACTTCCAGGAGGGTAAAATTGTTGAAAAGCTCTGTAGAAAATTTGAATGGCATAATTTCTTGAGGTTCATATTGTTCAACCCAGATTTGCCTTTTTGGCATGCTTTTTTTTAGCCCAACAACATGTTAACTTACACAAAACACTAATGTTTTTTGTTTTTAATATGTTTGTTTATGTTTTTTTCAGTTAATTAAATGAATACTTTTATTCAGCAAGGATGAATTAAATTGATCAAAAATGACAGTGAAGACATTTATAATATTACAAAAGATTGCTAATTTTAGTCACACTTTACAATAAGGTTTCATTTGTCAACATCATTTAACAACAGTATTTAACATGAACTAACAAATAAACAATATACATCATTTAATAAACTAAGTTCATCTAAAAAAAATCCTGAAATAAAATGTATCATGTTTTCCACAAAAATATTAAGCAGCAATAATAACAAATGTTGCACCAAATCATCATATTAGAATGATTTCTAAAGGATCATGTGACACTGAGTAGAGTAATGATGCTGAAAATTCATCTTTGGAAAAAATTACATTATAGATTAAAATAGAAATCAGGTAGCCTATTTTAAATAGTACCGATATGTCACAATATTATAGTTTTTACTGTGTGTTTGATGTTATTTTTCTCTGTAGATAGATAAGGATGATTTCGCATTGGAAATAACTGTGGCTGATTAACTGAAAATTCAATATCCATTTTGTATTATATAACACTCATGCAAATTACTAAAAACTGGGAATATGGTGATTGATCTAGATTCATCCGAATATGGTTTAAGTGAAGCGTTTTAATCCTCTGTAGAACAAAGTGACCTATTTCACATCAGATAACACAAGCTATGCTTCAAACGAGTATCCATGACTATTTTTCATGTAAATAACAGCGGGGTGGTTTATATTAATGAGGCATAATGTACGTAAATGCATGAGTTATGGTTTTGTTTTAATTATGCCTAATTATTTATGTGTTTCAACATACAGTAGGTATCTTAAACACAAACACAATCTCCTAATGCTGTCTGTCCGTCTCATACTGTATGTCTCAGTGTGTTCTTAGGTAAGCTCTTTGTAAAAATAGGATTTGTTACCTTAACACTGGGGCAAAAGGTGATTTCAGGTGATCCTAGAGAGCAATGCACTGGTCTGTGAAATAAACATGAGATCTTGCAATTATAATTCACACATAGCTACATGACATATGACAAAACACATTAACATTGTTTTAAACACTGTCATATAATACAAAAAGGCAGGCTATGTCACTTCTCTTGACCATTCACACCAATGAAATCAATACATGCCTTGAACTATAAATATAGGTCTTTGCACTTTTGATTTAAAAAGTGTACGCAACGAAACATAAGCAATATCGTTTAAAATACACGTCTAATACTTTATCTTTAGTAGTTTTTGTAGACATGAATGCACAATTTCTTCATCAAATACACAGGCTCTCATGAAAAGCTTTTGAGTGAAATTGTCTCACATAACATGAAAATTCTGCCATCATTTACTACACAATTTTCATTTTAAAGTGAACTATTCCTTTAAGATTGTCTCCTCATATCTTACCAGATTGCTGATGTGTATGAAGTTGGCTTCGCTTTGCAATCCCCAAGAGACTTTCGTTTGCACCTCGACTGCCCTCTTCACGCTTAATGCCTGACTGACTGTAAAGACCAATAACACCAACAGATCAGATGACAGTCTTTTCTCTCCCTCCCTCCCTCCCGTCCTCCCTCTCTCTCTCTCTCTCTCTCTCTCCCTCCGCATCCCTCAACACATACATATTACCATTAATCATCTTAAGAGGATAGGAGTTCTTTAAAAAAAACATCACAGCCTCTTGGAAGGCAATCTGGAATTAAAGCTTATGTAACTGGGTTATAATAATGATAGTGGCAGCAGGCAAAAGATTTAGTTTTTTTGTAAAGCCTTGCAACAGAGCTGCTTGATAACTATAGACAAGCAGAGAGTTTGTCTCATGTTACCCACACATTCATATACCTCTGTTTCCATTTCATTGAAAGATTAACCTTTAATTTTAAATTATTGGAGAGAAACAGGTGGCTTTTTATACACACATGTAATCCCCAAACCAAATCCATCTATGAGATGTCTATTATCACGTGTGGGTAATGTGATGTGATAGTATATAACTGTTTTTACCCCACAGTTACAGTAAATATTAAATGATAGCAGTAGTGCAGGATTATGTCCACTGTAGAACTGCAGTTGTTCACTGTTTCCGGTTTCTCTAACATTATTTTAAAGGGTTAGTTCACCCAAAAATGAAAATTCTGTCAGTATTTTTGGGTGATTTTCATTTTTGGGTGAACAAACCCTTTAATGACAGTCATTTTCATGCATCTCACTTTCTATTTGATAAACTATGTTGTACCTATAAATACAGTTTTCAAGTAGCTTTTTTTTTTTTTTTTTTTTTTTTTTTTTTTTTTTACATTAGTGACACATAAAGCCCAGCATGTTTCTACTTCTAATATAAGCAATTACATTGAAGATCTAAACCAACATCAAAATAAACACATAGGCTACAGCCCTAACCCTTTACATAACGTTATACATAAATAGGATACACACATATACGCGGTAGACACATGTGCGCATGCATAGGCTACACATAGGCTACATATGTAACATATAAAGAGTGATTGGGGGATTAACAAACAAGAATGAATTATGGAAAGAACAAAATGAAATCCCATATTATTTTGAAGCTGTATTTCAAACAGGCGACCGTTCACACACAGTGTGCGCATGTACTGCGCAGTGCTGACGCACATGAACACGTTTGGTTTGCTGTTTATTGTCATGTTAAACATTTTCGGTTGCTAGACGACAATAATGCAGTGCACATTACATCCGTAGACTCCGTACAGCGAAGAGAGACGCGAAACGACGCTGTGCAACATGATTGCGTTAAATCTGTAGCTTGCGTTAAATCTGTTGCTTTTCTTAACGGCGACATCAGGAAACAGCTGCATCTTGGTAACTTCTTAGCAGCCCCTAAACACTTCACTGTTCGTTTATGCTGTTTTATATTAGGATTTACACATCTTTGAAATTAGAAAAATATGATTTTCTGATGCATCATAAAACTCGGACATTACAGGTCGTTCCTCCATAGATCATACTGTATGAGAAAGGGTTATGGTCCTCCTGTTGTTTGTAAAAGGTGATGATTAAATAACAGGCCATCACAGGCTATAATGTCTGTAGCTGGAGAACTTGTCACAGAAGAGGAGGTGGAGGATCTGGTAAGTAACAATTCATGATGCTTAATTCGCAGATCTCGTGGACTGTAACAATACAATAGTAAAAAGTATCATGGATACCATGTGTTTTGGAGATTGGGGATACCACGCTATAAAAAAAGTAATTACCTAAATAACTTACTGGTACCATGTGAACATAGCGTGGTAGAGTATCGATAGTAGGCTGTTTCATATTAATATGCATGTATTTTTTTTATTAATGTTTCATGTCTCTTTATATGTTTTTTTAAGGCAGAGGACAGTCTCTCTAGCAGCTATGTGTCTGACACTGAAAAGGTGAGATAGTCTTTAAAGACAAATTTGCGATGCACTTTTCCCCCCTATTGTAATGTATGTCTAAGTGAAACGGCTTCACGAACAAGAAAGAATAGCCTACTTGATTTTCTCCATCGAGAATTGATTGAATCGTGTTTTTTTTTTTTTTTTTTTTTTTTTTTGAGAAATATATCCAAATACAAAATACGGTATATAACAGGAATGCTTCACATGACAGATATCACATATATTGAAACAAGTTCAAACAAATAAACAGGGATAACACAAATAAAGGGGAAGAAGAAAAAAAAAACTAAATAAATATACATAAAAAGCTCAATATTTCTTTCTTTTCCTATAGACACTTTTAATATTCATATAACTTGGTAAACTAAGTGGGGGTGAATCGTAATGTTTACTATTGGTCGGTCCCGTGTGAGTGACAGTTTGCCCCGCCCTCGCGCAAGTAAAAACGTCATCACAGAGAAGATAAGATTCGTTGCTGCGAGAGGGATGGAAAGATTACGATTGGACATGAGTAAATAATTATAATAATAATAATGTGCATGGATCAATCATTTATAAAAAAAATACAGCAATATTTCATTAAAAACAAGAATTGTCGATTTTGATTACGTGTCACGACACACACACAATTATACATACATTATCAGTGTGAAGCTGCTTTGATACAATCTGTATTGTGAAAAGCGCTATATAAATAAATGTGACTTCACTTGACTTGACACAAAATATGAAAGTCCAAGTGCAGTTTATAAGGGTGATCTGTGAGGGTAAATCAAGGCAGGCAAAAGGTCAAAATCCAGGTAACAGCAATCCGAAACAAGAAACAAAACAAGACAGACCTCCAGAATGAAGTGACATCTAACGTAGAGAAGGACTCGACAACTAACACAGAACAGCCAGGGTCTAACAGGATAGTGACAGACAGAATGCTGGGAAATGAAGTCAAATGTGAAAGTTGGCGCATGGGTTCCCTCGGTCGAAAAGCTATGCATTTTGTCCATAGACTTTTGTAAAATCGCAAATAAGATCTGTGTTTAACAAAGAGTTGTGACCCTTACACGTTTTAAGTTAATCCAAAATTTATACATTTTGAAGCCTTTATAAAGATTTTTAAAAACACAAGCAGACACAATAAAGTTTAAAAAACCACAAGCAGGTTATAACTGTGTGTTCTATGACATGGATGAAAACTGAAAATATTTAGAGGCTTTGTTCACCACAAACCTTATTTCAGGTGATTTAGCTCCCATAGACTTTAGAGCGAGGGAACCTGTAGTGCTAAAACTCACTTCTGCATTTTGGCCTACAGAGTGATATCGTAACTTCGGCACACTATATGGTATCACACTTATGTGTCTGACTGTTGGATTTCTTTCCAGAAGTCAAGAAAAAAGAAAGTTTCAGGCAGACCGCCTCCTTCTCCTAGTAAGTTTAAGACTGCCACACAAATGCCACCAACTTTTTCTGCACATCAACACAGTATTGTAAAAATTTGAGGTAACACTTTATTTCGATAGTCCACTTTAGACATTCTACTAACTATAAGTAACTTTTCAACTACATGTCAACTAGTATTAGTTGACTATCAGCTAAATATCTTCAACACTTTATTATATTGGTCCCCCAACAGACATTCAACTGACTATAAGTAACTTGGCGACTACAAGTAAACTTATTCTCCTAACCCAAAGCTTAACACCTAACCATAACCTAACAGTCTACTGACAGTCTACGATAATATACTAATACTCTAATGAGAGTTACTTGACATGTAGTTGAGAAGTTACTTATAATTAGTAGAACGTCTAAAGTGACTATCGAAATGGGACATTAGCTTGTTTCATTGTGATTACTTAATGCATCTACTGTACACTGCAAATATGCCTTTAAAATAATAAATATTTTTATTTAAATAAAGAGTCACCATACCTGAACAGTGCAAACTTGAATTTGAAGAAAACTCCAGTAACATCATGGAGGACGGTGAAAGGGACTCTGCTCCAAAACTGTAAAACCCATCCGGCTGGGACACCCAGGGACGTCTGGCTCCACTTACAGAATGATGGACCAGGTCTGTTACTATTTTTAAATAACTCTGCATTTAATGTTTGGTAACACTTTATTTTTCAGTGTCATTGTCATGTAGTTACTTTAGTAATAACTAAATTATGCCTAATTACTCTAATCCTAAACCCTAATACATGTAGTTACTTAATACTTCTCAGTACTTAAATGTATAATTAGTGTAACAAAGACACCTTAAAATAAAGTGTAACCTTATGTTTCTTCCACCAAAAAATACGATTTTTAAGAACTAACCGAAGTTCACATCTGTGCCTCAACATAAAAATGTAATTTTGCTTCTCAGATAAATGTAACTTGTTTTAAATATGTTCAAACCTTTTCTGGAAAACTAGACAAAACAGATTATCATCACATAAATCACATTCAAAGCCTTTGTGCTCTATCATAGCTATGCATTTGAAATACATGCAAATATATTTAACGATAAACCATATTGTTTCATATTGATGCATTTATCTCTAAGGCCTCTAAATTAACATGAATGAGATTTTGCTCAAATTTCTACATTTCTGCCCTCTGATTAATAGCATATACCTTTTTAGAAAGTAAAAGTCCTTTTAGTATAATTCTAAAAATGTCTTTTTGCTGTAAAATAGTTGCTGGTTTGTATAAAGTCATTTTATTTATTTTTTTAATATTGTTAGTAATATTTTAAGATTTTTATATTTCAACATTTACTGGACTGAAGCAAGCAACTTGATAGTCCATACATCAAATGGTATTTTTCATAGGAAAAATCTTGTTAAAATGCTTTTAAAGGAACTTTTATGTTTACATCTTCATTGTATTGTAATATGTGCTTTATTAAGTTCTAGCAAACAGCCAAAATCCTAGTAGAAACTAATTAATATTGAGAATTGGACACTAAACTAAAGTGTTACCATCAGGCTTTACAGGGTTACATTTTGTTTATTTCAGGGAAGTCTCCAAAAGGAGCAGATTACAGTGTCACACAAACCAGCATTTCCATGTCCAGCACACCTGAATACTTGAAGGAGGCTTTTGAAATGAAAAAGCCCAAATATTCCCGGTCTCCATCTAACGGTGAGATACAACTAAATATATCAACCTTAAATTGTTCATATAACAGGTTTTATTTTTCTAATTTTGTCACCAAGTTATTTGTACAATTCTCTATCAGGTTATGTTCCAGGGACCCCAGTCTATAAAGAAAAGGAAGAAATGTATGAGGAAATAATTGATCTGAAAAAGGTGATGCTCACCTCTCGCACACTCGCTCGCTGACGTAATACTGCAAGTGTTTTTCAGGATATGTATTTAGAATTTTGATTACATCAGATGGCATGTTTTCATCGAATTGGGATTTATGTAAACTCTCAATACTATCATTCCTGTATGTACACCAGGGATTAGTGGTTAGGATTAGTGTGTCCCAAATCATAGTTTGTTAAAAATAGCATGCCAAATGTTCCTGGATGGTGTATTATTTCCACTTATTTCAGTACTGCGTAATTTGATTTCCAATCAAAAGCCTAGAATGTTGCTATCTATAAAGTAGAAGTGAACACTGAAATTGCATGTACACACATATTTTCTCTCCCTTTTCTCAGACCATCCAGTCCCTAAAGTCTGAATCCGACAAGATGAAAGCCAAGCTCCGCCGTCTTGAAGAAGACAACACGAAGAAAGACAGACAAATCGAACAGCTGCTGGATCCAGCGAAGGTGATGAGCATTTGTCAGTAAATCCAGTTGCAGAGATGAGCTTCAATAGTTTATATAAGTGTTAACATCCCCTTTTATCGTGTAAATTAGTAGCTTTACACCATATGCGTAACTGCAACTGCCATTATTCTTTCAAACTGATTTATATTATAATATTAACATTATTTACAGAGCAGATAACTGCCAGACATACAGTACAGGATCAGATTTTTTAAATACTACAGTACATTTTTTAATTTAATTTTTAGAAAATAATACTTTATTCATCAAAATGGGATTTAATTGATCAAAAGTGAAAGTAAAGACTTTTATTGTTAAAAAAAAAAAAAAAATCTGTTTAAAGTAAATGCTGTTCATGAAAGATTCCTGAAAAAAATTATTTTTACCATAATAATAAGAATTGTTACTTGAGCTGCAAATCAACATGATTTCTGAAGGATCTTTTGACAATGAAAACTGAAGTAATGATGCTGAAAATTCAGCTTTGACATCACAGGAATAAAATTACATTTTAATATATGTGTAATTTATAATCATTTTTAAATAATTTTTTTTGCGTTGATCATATAGGACCCAGATTATGCAAGGGGTTTTGTGGACAGAAAGGCCGATCCTAGATCGGTGAGTATGCCATTATAAAAACAATCTCGTTTCTTAATTTGATGAATGATATAAAATAAAAATTGTATTTCTCTCTTTTTAATCATACCAGATCATTAATGGACTGAAACATAGGATTTTACGATTGGAGCAGCAGTGCAAAGAAAAAGAGAATGCCTTGAGGTCTGATGCCAAATCATTTGTATTATACAATCATGCAATTAATCAGGTTATGGTGAATCAAAACAGTATGAATGAACTTAACAGAACTTCAACATGAGAGTTGTAGGCTAATCGAATCAGAAAACAGTATCGTTTTCAAAAACGTGCACTTTGATACAAAAGTTTGTGTTTTTACGCCCCTAAAACACAGTTCTTGTGTAAATGCGGCATAAACGCATTAAAAGTTTTTAGTTGAAAACAATGTCATGTAAACACCCCCTTAGACAGTAATAATAATATAAGACTAGACATAAAGATGTTCTGAAACTCTTGAATTTTCCATTTAAATTTTCACTCAGTATTTAAAATATTATGTTGACTTATACTGGTGTCCAATACATTGGAGTCTGTAGTTTATGTTGTACTGTACCTAAACTGATGAATTGTGTATTTGCCATCACAGTCAGCTTCAGAGTGACCTCAAAACTACCAACATGCAGGAAATGAAGATCACTGTAGAAACCTACTTTGAGGAGGTAGCTTATATTATTTTATATAAACTAAATGTATTTCACTAGATATTAACTTCTGTTTTTTGTTGTTTTTTTTAGTAACACATTCTTTATTTTTCATGCTTAGGTTCAAAGATTGCGAACACTGTTGGAATCAGCTGAGAGAAGGTACAAACTTGGTTCATTTTGTTAATTTTACACATGGTTTGATGGTTCCTCTTGATTCCTTGTTTTGTATAAGTCTCTCACTCTTTTTTACTCTCTTTAGTAATAAGATGGAGAGCAAAGACATCAGGCGGCAGAACAAGACCCTTAGTGCGACAGTTCTGAAACTCACAAAGACTGTACAACAACTGGAGGATGAGAACCAAGAGCTCAAAAAAGAATTGACACAGGAAGAGATGAGCATGATGGACAGCCCTGTTTGCCGTGCCAAGGGTACTTACATTTACAAAGGCGCATCTTAACTTAGATGCACAGTAGAACTGGAAACACTATTATACCAAACATTGTTTTATATGAACAACAATACTGGCTTAAAGGGATACTCCACTTTTTTTTGGAAATATAGGCTCATTTTACCACTCCCCCAGAGTTAAGCTGTTGGGTTTTACCGTTTTCGAATGTATTCAGCCGATTTTTTGATATTTAGAAGAATATCAGTAACCAGACAGTTTCTGATCTCATTGACTTCCATAGTAGGAAAAAAATATATACTATGGAAGTCAATGAGACCAGAAACTGTCTGGTTACTGAAATTCTTCTAAATATCATAAAATCGGCTGAATACGTTTGAAAACGGTAAAACTCAACTGTTTAACTCTGGGGGAGTGGTAAAATGAGCCTATTTCCAAAAAAAGTGGAGTATCCCTTTAAGCAAGCTGAAGATGCTTAACCGGTCTTTGCTGGTCTGTTAACTGGTTTAGTTGACTGGACTGTTCTCCTCCTTGCATGGGAAGCTGAAATGTAAACAAAACATTTTCTTTCATTTAAAATTATTCCCACACCCAGGGCTGAATTCATGTGTCATGTTTTAATGTTTACAGGTTATATGGATTGGAGTAAACAGAGACTTGTGCGACGAATCCTGGAACTTGAAAAGGTATATATACAAATTTTCGTCATGAAACTGTAGTTGGCGCAGGCTAATAGATCCTTAACTCAAACTACTTGCAATCATATCATTCTGTATAGGACACAGTTGATTGTTTTCTGCTGTATCAGTAGCCAATGAGCTGGCGTGCTATGGGGTTGGATTATGGTCACAACTCTGCGCGCGCAAAATCACATTTCGAGCGAGTAAAAGGGCATTTCGCATGGGCGTGAACTGAGTTTTGCGGAGAAACGTTCATCTCGCATATAAGAAAATGTTTAGAGCGAACGAAAATCAACTTTGCATTTAAAATAAGTCTTTGGATGTGTATATATACAGTACTTACACAGTAGAGTGTATAAATTAAGCATTACTTGTAGAAAGTAATGATCATGTCCATCATGTGAATGTCGTTTGTCTCATTTTTTCAGAGAGTCGAGCAGATGAAGAATCTTCATATTACTAAAGCATCAGACTCACAGAAGAGCTCAGTGGAGAAAGGCACTGAGTCAGAATCGGCCAATCAGAGTGATTCTGTCAACACAGAGATGGAGCCGTCTGTGAGTCCAGAGAATGATGTGCATTTTAGGGCAGCATTTAAGAAACTGGCAGAAGAGAAAAAGAAACTACAGGAAAAACTAACCCAGAAAGAGTGAGTGTACTCACAGCACACACACTAGCATCAAACAAAATTGGGGTTGGTAAGATTTTTTGATTGTTTTTGAAAGAAATCTCTTGTGCTCACCAATGGTGCATTTGTTTTATTAAAAAGGGGATATTGTAAAATATTATTAAAATGTAAAATATATTTTAAAAAGTCATTACCCAAAAAAAAAGTATCACATGATCCTTCAAAAATCATTCTAATATGCTGATTTGGTGCTCAAGTAAAATTTTATATTATTATCAATGTTAAAAATAGTAAAAAAAAAAAAAAATTCCCGTTTATTATATTTATATTTCTGAAATGTTTAACGTATTTGAGAGTAATTCTAATTGAAAGTATTTGTCTTGTCTTTTCAGTGAAGAGATAAAGCAGTTGTCTGCTGAGAAGGATGACGGTCTGAAAGAGGTAGAAAACGCACTGAAGGAGCGAATTAGAGAGCATGAGAGACTGATGCAAACACACAGGTTTGTAAAATAAACATAATGAAGGAATCAAGAATTAAAACTATATTTTGGTGGTGTTTTGGAAGACGCTGAATTATCACAAGATTGAATCATGTGTGATTTTCCTGTTATGTGAGATAGCCTGATTTATATTTCTAATGCTTTAAACAGTTATTTTTTGCATTTCAAGTAGGGATGCATGATATATCGGCCAGCATATCGGTATCGGCCGATATATGTTTTTAATTTTATCATTTTATCAGTTTTCATTTTTAATGTTATCGTTATCGGCCTGGTAAGAAAATTTGGCCGATAAATTAAAGCCGATAAATAATGTATTATTCCCTTCAGCTGAGAAACTTGTTGAGAACTGTTTATGTTTTTGAATTCCTTGAAATATGATTGAAATCTCTTCAAAAAATGAAAATCTGGTTCGGGACAACATGTGCAACGCAAATCTATCATATCGGCTATACTACACTATAATGAGAACATCATTGTAATTGTGCGCTTGGAACATGGATTTAATTGTGAGACTTTTGTTTTTGTAATCAGGCTCTCAAAAATTAGATAAAAATTTGGATTTAAGTTTATCAGCCGATATATCGGTTATCGGCTTTCAAATATAAAGAATTATCGGTATCGGACAAAATTTTCATATCGGTGCATCCCTAATTTCAAGCATTTGTGCTCCTTTAGAGATGTTTAGAGAAATTATTTACTGTGGTTATTGTTGGAATATTGTCATTATTTTCTGAGAGAAACACCTTGGTTACGTGTGCAGAAATAAATGTCATTTTAAAGATATAGGAAGTTATTACATTTCTATGTTTTTATATTTGTATCTCTGTAGAATAACTTTGAATCATGAGCAAGGAAATGTATTAAGAAATTATGTAATGCCAGTTTAGATTTCAGGTTTTTTTATTTACAGGCAGGAGATGGGTGCACTGACTGTAGAAATCAACTGTTTAAAAGAGAAATTAGAGGAGGAGAGAAAACTCAGATTAGTACAGGATCCAAATCAGGTAATACTTTCAAAATACTTATTAGCTACACACACAAACAGTTCACTCAAGGCAGTGACGATGGCAACTCTGAAAAATGAAACCGTCACAGTCCATATATTTTCTCATCTCATAGGTTCGGAACGGCTCTTTATCATTAACACTCACAGAACCATTGTCGTCATCAGCGGTTGCGTCAATGGAAAAGAACAAAGCAGCTAAGATCATCCAGACACACTGGCTCTCACACCGAACACGGGTTGGTACAACACATCCACATGAACTGCACTCCCACAGTGAATGCAGATTATTCATCTCTTCCTTTATTCTTCTGCTCCTTTGCTTAGGATCTAGTTCTTTTGCAATCCTGTCTCAGAGGGCATGTAATCAGGCAGAGGCAGATAGATGGACCTCGGCAAGCAAACCTTGTTGCCATGGTAATTCTTTTGATGGGATGTTTTATTGTACACAGTTTGTTTACAGATATATATATAGTTCAGTCATGAAACTCTAGAGGGTATAGACTGATTGGTCCTTTACATGCAATCTGCTAGCAATCACATCAGTACCAGGTGGCACACACGCCACTTTTCCACTGTCGGGCCAGTGCGAGCCAGGGCTAACAGTGTGTTGGGCGGGGCCAATAGCCTCGGACATCAAATCTTGAGGCCAAAATCAAGCTGCGTTTCCACTGTCGGGCCAGTTGCCCCATAACGCTACCCTTAAAAATGTCACCCAACCCTACCTTTTCTAGCTTGGGAAAACCCAGACTTCCGGCAAATTTAGATTTGCTCTGAAAGTTAGTCTGGCAAAGAGCTCATTCAATCCCATTTCCAATCTGTCGAAATCGCGGCACCAATCAGAAACGTTGGGGCGGGCGTTACACGATGACGACAGCACTGGGATTTTGAAGCAGATTTTGTAGCCTACATTACAAAGATGGGTGCCGCCATCGAACATCACTCGTTCGAATCATCTATCGCGTCTGTTTTAAGCATTTTTAATGTTTCCTTTTTGTTAAAAACTGAGCAAAGAAAAACACTCTGCATACGTTATCTCCTTCATCGCTCTGATTGGTTTTAGGTCTACCCGCGACGTCCGTTGGTGACGCCCCTCTGGAAATGATTTGTCTATGACGCTTTGCCAGACCATAACTCAGTTACAACTGAGAATGGTCTGGTTTTAACCAGGCTAAACCATTTCACCAGCTGACTGAAAACGAGCCGGCTGCAAAATGAGCATGACAGAAGGAAACATTTGTTTCTTACTTAAAGACTTAAGATTCCAGCATCGGTATATGACCACTGATTTATAATTTTTAAATTCTTGACTATATATTTCAGAGCCAATCAGGTTTTAACACTCAGGCTGTACAGGAAGAGGAAGTGACTCTGCTGCAGGCTGTCTTTAGGGCTCATCTCAAACGCAGCACTCTGAGGATGGACAGGTGATTTAGATTACTACTTCACTACACTGAAATACTTCATACAGTCAAACCAAAAATGATTGACACCAAATAGAATGTTTTATTTTTTTTTTTTACTAGTGGGTGCAGGACACTATAGTGCATTTATAGTGAGGATAGCAAAATAAAGTAAACTTTGCATATTATGTCCAAATATTTATAAATTTATAAAAATTTGACTGAACAAAATTAAGTGGGAGTTTACATGAGATTCCAGCATGTTGTGTGATGCTTTCTCCAGTGTGTTGAAAGTCTCAGTGTGGCCGTGTACCACGATGGAGACGAGCGCTCTTGTAAAAATTGGTTGCAATCTGAAACATCACCGATAGAGGCTGCTAAAGAATACATATAGCCCCTTTAAATGTAACTGCTGACATTTGTGAGACAGTCTAACAGAAGGATAGCCAAAACTAGTGAAATATCAACTGATTTGATAGCTCTCGTCATACTTTATTACCATTTTTTTTTTTTTTTACCACTGTGGCGAATAAACTCTGATAATGTGAAAAATGTTGAAGGTGTCTGAATACATTTTGGATTAACTGTATACTACACCATGCAGTCAGAACAGTTTGGCCTCCTGACAGACATATGTTGACTTGACTTTGCAGGGCGTCTACAGTGACACCGTCTGAATCTTTCGTTCATCAGAAAAAGCCGCATCTCTCCACCCCTCCACTACTGACCACAGGGTCCCCACAGGCCATGTTTACGAACAAAACGCAAACCTCAGGTGATTATTGAGCTTTAATAATGTGCTTGGTTCTCACTGAAGAGATTGATATGACCTCATGTTAGTATTCTTCTTTGTTAATCTAAGATCAATAAGACGTTTAATGAACCATAAATACGTTAAGTTATAAACCTGGCCATCCTTAAATCTGTTATACTGACCTCTCTTTAAAACCACTGTTTTTTTTAATAATATTCTTTTAGGTGTAACTAAAGAGAAACTAAATCCTGCTGCTTATAATGATGAGCTACATGACAAGAGATCAATACCAGGTTAGAATATATAACTCGTTCCTATTACACTGCCGTTCAAAAGTGTGGGTCAGTAAGATTTTTTTAAAGAAATTAATACTTTTATTCAGCAAGGATGCATTTAATTGTTTAAAAGTGACATTAAAGCTACACTGTGTGATTTTTTACACCCATCTAGTGGTGAAAAGGTATATGACCATCCAGTGAATATTAGTTTCTGTTCCTCTCAATTGCGATTTCGTTTTAACTCCTACGGTGGCCAATGTAGTCCAAGATTAACATGGCTTCCAGTTCGACCTCGTCCATGAGTGTTAACTCGAACGTAAACGCGAAAGGCAAAGCTTGAATTAACGGGTATGTCCCTCTTTGGCTAATGTACTTTCAAGATGGAGGGGCAACATGGCGACCGACATTAGAACCCCTTACCTGTACGAATTTTCAATGGCATATTATACACTCACGAGGATACTTTATTACTTGAACGAAGTAAATATACATTAACGAGCACATATATTTTTGAAAGAACTAAGTGTTTTTAGCTAAGAATAATCTAAAAGAGTTACACAGTGTAGCTTTAAAGGTGTTAATAATTTTCCAAAAGATTTCTGTTTCAAATAAATGCTGTTCTATTCATCAAATTCCTGAAAAAATGTTTTATGATTTCTTTAAAAATAATAATAAAAGACACTAAATAAGATCATATGAAATATTTCTGAAGGATGAAGAATGGAGTTATGATGCTGAAAATTCAGCTTTGCCATCACAAAAATAAATTACATTTTCAAATATTTTCAAATATAAAAATGGTATTTTAAATTTTAATAATATTTCACAATGTTACTCTTTTCGATGTAAATAAATGCAGCCTTGACTTACTGACCTTTTGAATGGTAGTGTATGTCACCAATATATTTTTGAATAATATGTGATTCATCTCTTTAATGTAATGAATGACATATACGATTTTGTTTTGTTGGTAATAAGAAGACCTGAAGATCCACCAACAGCAACCAGCCGCTGCGTTTCCAAAGACCACTGATTCGGACGACTCTGATGACATCATCGTGTCCCCTTCAAGGCCACTGAGAAAAAGAGAAAAATGCTTAAGTCCGTTCAATGCTAATGACTTGATTTAGCTCTTTGTTGTTATTATTTTTTTTTTTTACAGTTTGGACCTTAAATGGTTTCATTAATAAAACTTTTTCTCTCTGAACTTGGAACACACATTGTTACATGAACAATTGAAAAAAGGGAATTAAAACAAACTGTCGTTTATATGGGCAATAATAACTGTACATAGAAGAACACACCATGGATGATAGATCATTATGGCATTGTGATTTTACACTTTATTGTTTCGCTACGGTCACGTTCTTTAGATTTCTAGGAACTGAACCTTCAAATAAGATTTCAGAAGTCGTGTCTTCCAACTCCAAAAGTGCCTTGTGTTGGAAGATCATCTTTAAACGAGGATCAGGGATTTCATATTCTTCATATACTTTTAATTTCGGATAAGTATACACATGACACTAAGCAACATACCTTATTAAGTATAATTAAGCCATACACCTCTGATTTATAAAGTACTGTGAATCTCCACAGACACATTGCTGTATAAGAGAACTTCAAGTTCAGATTGGGGAAAAATGACAGTAAATGCTGGTAAATGTTGTTAGTGTGTTTCATGTTATTACAGACTAATCTGTGAACCAATAATGGCACTGAAAAAAATCGATGCTGTTTTCTCTTTTCAGTGTCTCTTTAAGACTGACTTTGCTCTAAGAGCTCGTTATTTTTTGTGCCATCGTGTTTAAATTTGTGTTCGATTTGTCTTTATTAAAGATCTGTTTTCTTGAACTTTTGTCCTTTGTGCTAAGAGTGTAAAAATACAATTTCCTCATTTAGTCTAACTTCCTATCTAGCGATGGCTACCTGATCGTCTTATAATCAGGTGTCCATACGCAAAATCCCTTTAAAGTTGTATTCATATTCCTGCGTATGCCATAGGCCTATATAACAGAACATGCTTTTAATAAAATATTGACATAGTCTTGCTTTTCATAGCTAGAACTGAGGGATTTGAAATGTAAAAGCGATGCAGAGATGGTGGCGGTTTTAATTCTTAATAGGTAAGCTATTTTATTGTACAGATAAATTCCCTAATGAGCGTTATAACAGAGTTCATTGTAAAACATTAGTCTATCTATCTATTGTAGTCATATTCCGCACAGTTTTGCATAGCCGATCGCACAACCAATGTTTTTTTTCTGCAAAATACGTGCAGTTTTGTCTTTTAACCGCTAGAGGGCCTAAAGTTGCACACAAATTAGCTAACATAAAAAATTAATGGACAATTTTGATTTCATGGTGACTTTAAACAGTTATTAATACATTATTAAATGTTTTTTTTAGGTGTTTAAAATCGAAATCAATCAGGTAAACTGCATTTAGAGGTGAATTTGTCTAGGGGTTGCAAAAAAAACAAAAAAAACCCATATTGTTGATGCAATGTTTTGGACCTTATTAGTCAACTAGTAAGGCGAGAAATGTTGCACTAGTGCAACTAGTAAGGCCAAAAATGTTTTACACGTTAACTAGAGCTAAAACATCCACTAGTTAACCAGTGGAGGCCCTTTTAGCCTTACTAGTTAACTAGTAGATATTGTCATACTAGTCAACTAGTGTGGTCCCAAACTAAACTAGTTAACTAGTTAGGCTGATTTTGCACTGAGCAAAGCCGAACTAGTAAAGACTTTGACTGAACTAGTTCTACAAAAACGCGCACTAGTAGTCAAACCACGAACGTTGTGCTGAGTGAGCTGAACTATATGAAGTTCAGCGAACTTCTGAAGTGACTGCGTTCGTGGTTTGACTTGTCGAAACTCGTTCCCTCATCTAGAGAGAACCGAGGTTACGTTAGGTAACCGATTCGTTTTCTCCTGCCACGAAGTTAACTGCCTTTATAAAGTACCTGTTACAAAGTTATCAATGCTTCGTTTTGCATGTAGGGACCCTCCTTATGTTACGGAGTTAGTATGGGGCTATTTTGATTTATTTTTACTTATCAAATGCCCCCAGTTTTTTGAGATAAAACTCTTTACATTCAAATATTATGAAAACAAATATGAAAACAAATCTCAGAGAACTGTTGACTAGGTACCAAGGGTATATAATAGTCTCTGATAAGGGTCTTATCAAGCGAAACTATCCCTCATTTAAAAAAAAAACAAAGTTTAAGTTTTATAAGCTCAAATGGTGGTCTTGCTCTGGTCTGTATGCGTTTTCGTGACTCTCCTGTAACTCTTATATAAAAATGAACAAATCTTTTTTCGTGCCATATGGTTCATTCAACGAACCAAATGAACGAGTTGACTCGTGAAAAGATTCGTTCATTTTGAACAAGAGAGTCACGAACGCGCATCACAGACAAGGCGACCATTTGAGCTTATAAAACTTAAACTTTGTTTTTTGTTGTTGTTGTTGTTTTTTGTTTTTTTACATGAGCGATTGTTTCATTTGATAAGACCCTTATTCATCGTCTGGAATCGTTTAAAGCCCTCTGAACAGTTTGCACTGAAACTGTCGTTTGGACCTTGAACCGTTTGTTACCAGTTGCATATAATGTTGTATAATATAATGCACGTTGTTTTCATCAAAAACCTTAATTTATTTTCGACTGAAGAAAGAAGGACATCTTGGATGGCATGGGGTTGAGTAAATTATCAGCTAAAGTTTTTTAAAGGTGAACTACTCCTTTGATATATTGCTGAATTGAATTTGCGTCATTTGGCCACCAGAGGTCTGTAGGCGCACTAATCCATTTGAGGATTGAAATAGCTGGACGTGGATGATTGACAATCACGACCGTTTGTAGTCTTCTCACAAATCACTTTCATCCTTGTAATGCGTGATATCATCGCGTATTTTATACTTTCTCAATTTTAACGGAACAGAAATGAACAAGCGCTGATCACAGGCGTCTAATGGAAGAAAGCAGTGCGGGACAGCCTTAAAACAAAAGCGCATCGGACATGAAAGGCGTGTAAAGCTTTGGCTTCAGTTCCTGTGAGCGTATCGCTGCTGGATAACATGCAGACGGCAGTGACGCAGGGACAGCGTTCGTTCGGTTCGTGCCACAGTCATGCTGACTGACTGACTGGCTGCTGAGCTCAGATAAACCTGCTATTGTTGCTTTTCGCCCAAAACATCGAAGGACAGGAGCCATTTATCTGTTGTTGAGATCATCACAGGTTTTTTTTGGCTGGAACTATGGTTTAGGCTGATAACGGGTAAGAATGGATTCCTTGTAACAAAAGCCTGTCTGAGAAAATTGCGGTTTAAATCCTAGTATATAAACAATGTATGTTAATTATTAAATTTAAGAGCAAATCTACATGATCTAATTAAGAACAATAGGTGAGTGTAGATTTCTAGGGAAATCTAGCCATTTGTTTGCTTGGTTGTCTTTGGTGCAGATTTTAACCCCTGCATAACTGCAGAGAACGTTATAGCTTGTAAAGAGACACTTTAAATGCAATGTGATGCAATGCGACGTGATGAAACAGTGGAAGTCTAGAATCGGCTGCTGAATGCATCATTGTGTCTTTTACAGTCCGAGATCTGGATAAACACTATGGCTGCAGTGGTGAATTATTCTCCGCCGTGGTGGGTTAACCTTTTCCATCGACTTCCACACTTAAACCTACAGTTTCAGCTGACCAGCAGCGATTTCCGCCCGGAGGACACGGAATATCAAAAGGTAATCGAGTTCAAGTACTACATGATTTGGAAATATTATGAGACACCATCAAAATCGATGTGTGCATGCGGAGAGGCAACATCAAAGGTTGTTCTCAATCATGACGTCACCCTCTGAAGGCTTTTACTGCAGTGTGTCAACTAGTTTTGAGGTATTAGTGAGTTGTGCCATTCAGAATGTCACGTTTGACAGATAGTTATAAATAATAAACTCAAAATGTGCGATTCATACGCAATTATGATAAAACATCAAAGAGTTGTCCAATATAGACAATGGTAATGCAGTAAGACAATACTTGTCTATTTAAAGCGGTATAATTACTTTATTTAAACAAAGCACTCTGGCTGATTTCCAACCAGGCTCAACATTTTTGCCCAGTCTTTTTTTACTGATTCGTAGATTGGCTTTGTTGATTGGTAGCTTGATCAATACTAACCAGTTTAAAGTTTAAACGATGGAAATTCCTTCTGGTGAAGCTGGGACGTCTTTTACGCCTAAAGAGTGGCATTGATTTGTAATCGGTTTGAATGACTTCATCTTACTGAGCTTCTCGTGTTGCACATGAGAACAGACTGTCCAATCACTGAGCAGTTACTGTTCAGAAATGATGTTATGCTGAGGAGCTGTGTGGAAATAGTCAGTGTTTGTCTATTTACCCGCCCACAGAAATAGATATCAACATCCAGTAAGAGACATTATGAGGATGTGCATAGGATATATAATGCATGCATTTCTACATGGCATGCATATGCAACATTTGGTCATATATGTATAATGTAAATGCATTTAAGATTACTGTATCTCAGTCACAGCACTATTAAAGGAATGCTGCCAAAAAATGGTATAACTGTGCATGCAGTTTCCATTTTAGATGCAAAATTTATAAGAGAAGAGTATTTAAATGAATCATGCAAGGTGATTTACTAAGGTTTGTGCTTGTCAAGCCCCCAAAAACATGTTTTAAAGCAGATGCTAATTTGTGCTTTTCTTGATAGATTGTGTTGGTCATCATGGAAATGTTAAAAATTAATTTGTCCGTTGTGAGTAGATCATGATTCTAATACCATGATGGTATTGCGCTCTCACACTAATTTAGTTTAGTAAATCTGGCCCATAGACTTCTTTCAGACAGACATGAAGGTCACAGAGACACTTTTCAAGTTCAAATGTCATGAAGGTTTGTTTACTGTCATAAAATGACGTTATTTTGTCAAAGCAGCCATTCACCAGAGGAGGACCAGTAGGAAATAGCATCCAGCTGCGTGAAATTGCAGCCATGGTTGCCTTTGCTCACCAGCTATAGCTGTCAGTGACCACATCCAGAGCACTCCCATGCTGGATGGTAAAATGGCCAAACAACAGTCACTTGTTCGCAAAAAGAAATATCGGCGATTAAAAAGAAACTCATGGCTGCAGTAATAGAAATTGATCTCTCAGGTTCAAACGTTGTTTGGAGAAATCGGATGAATGCTATACATTGCTGCCGGCCGTGTACCATATCGTTTAAGGGAAATGGGCTCTCTTATCACTGCAAATTCAATACATTTTCTGCTGTGAATAATTTTACAAGGTCAAGACATATTATATGTAGGGCTGGCAAACGATTAATCACGATTAATCACATCCAAAATAAATATATATAAATACACACATATGCATGTATATTTAAGATAAAAATATCATTACAAAATATATTTATATATAATATAAATTATTTATAAATCTATATTCAGTATACATGAAAATATTTCTTAAATATATGTAAGTATGTGTGTATATTTATATATATAAAATAATTATACACAGTGCACCCACGTATATTATGTAAACACAAACTTTTATTGTGGATGCGATTAATCGCGATTAATAGATTGACAGCCCTAATTATATGTGATTACATTCAACTCGAGATGAGTGAAATGTGTTCTGTGCTTGAATGTGAAGGTACTAACATCGTGGAAAACATCAATAAGGCCTGGATGTTTGTAGATGAGATTGGCCTAGTTGGTTGGCTTGGTAGGTACGAGGTCACAGGAAAGCCACGGGGTGTGTGGGGGTAAATCTGTAAGAGATGAGGTCATGACAAGCCCTTGGGTCT